CTCTGTGTACCCACACTGGCTGGCCTCAAACTCACAGAGATCTGTTTGCCTCTGCCTCTCAAGTGCTGGATTTAAGCCATGTGCCACCACCACCCAGCTCAGCTCTCTCTGCTGTGAAGAGCAAAGGTTTATTTATAAATGCTGTCAACAGGTAGACTCACAACAGTTGAAATTACTGATTTTTTGGTTTATTTATTTCATGTCCACGTGTTTATGTGCATGTCAGGGGGCACACATGGAGGTCTGAGGTCCGTTTTTTCTTGTGTGGGTTCCAGGGCTCTCATTCAGGCTCAGATACCTTCACGTGCTGAGCTTTCTCCCCAGTTTAAGGTTTCTAAGCTTAATTGGCTTTGTTTTCAATTTTAGCAATTTTCCAGTGGGCCAACCAAAGATGTTTGGTACGGACAGAAAAGGCCTGGAAAGCAGAGTCAATAAAATGTAAATCAATCAGTCATTAGAAAAGGCATTTCCTTTATGGCGGGGAAGGGGAATCAGCATAGAAAAATAATTGATAGCATGAAGTCATTTCTTTCTTTGATGTTTTGTTTCTTTTTCTCGGGGAAGGATCTCAGGAATCCTAGCTGGCCTGGAACTCACTGTATAGCCTAGGCTGGCCTATAATTTGTAGCAATCCTCCTGCCTCAGTATCCAAGGTGAGGACTATAGATAGGAGTCCCTACTCATAGCTAGGTTGCTTCTTTGTGTAAGGATTAAAAGTGGGGTGTGGGGTGGAGGATTCTAGCAGAAGCTGGCTTGTTTGGGGTGGGGTGCAGTTCCTGGTATTTTTCTAATCTAGATTTTTCAGGAGGTCAGACCAATCAATAGCTTAGTTTCAGATGGGTGTGAATGACTCCACAGAGTTAGTTTGGTCTTTCGGGGAGTAGGGGAAGTGCTTAGTCCAAACAGTGGTCTCCTGTTTTTATTTAACACTTGTTTATGGAAGTGTTCTTGTGAAATCCAAACATGGTCTCTTACTATTGATTCCTCTGGTTTATTCTCACTGACCTCCTCCTCCTTCTCTGGGGATTTAGCTCAGGGCCTTGCTCCTGCCACACAGGCTACTTACCTCTGAGTTAGATCAGCCTGCTTCTGTTGTACCATCTGGTTTGGGGAGGATAGTAAGGAGTGAATGCTAACATTCTGTGTCTAGGATGGGCATGGCTTCTGGTAGGCATACTAGTTCAGCTGAGTTTATCCACATATCTGGGCATCCATCTCTGGCATGTGTGGGGCGTTGGCGGTGGCACGGGATGTTCTTTCTTCCTTCCCCTTCTCTCCTATCTCCATTGACAGGGTGGCTCTGAGGGAAGCTTCGGTTCAGGCAGATCTAGCTTTCAGGAAGAGGAGTACGAGCATACACACGCCTGGAAAAGCGTTGCAGTGTGCAGAAGAGGATTTGCTGTGTGCATGGCGGTAGAAAAGCAGGCCGTGTGGGCAGACTCAGCTGTAAGGGTCTGAGGCAGGAGGCTCAAAAGTTTCAGATCAGTGTGGGCTACAGGACAAGACCTTATCTCAACCACCCCTTCTCTAACAATGACTCCTTTTCTATGCTCCACTTCCCATCATCCTAGGGACAGAATGTAGGGCCTTTCTTGTTCATTCGAGGTCCGTGCCATGCTCTTGAACAAACAGCCTCAGTCTCCCTTCCTGACTCCTTCTCCCCGTCTCCAGGTCCTAGAACAATTTCCTCCTTAAATTAATGCAGTCCTTCCAATCTTTGTTCTTTTTTACCTTAGCCCAAAGTGCTCATCAAACATTGTACTGAATTTTTGTAACACTACACATTTTTTCATGTCGTTTTGATGCTTTGGCCCAAAGGCAAATGAGGCTTCTGAATAACTTGCAGAATGTTCAGGAATCTCTTGCTGTGCCTTTAAGAGTCAGTCATTTTCAGTAGCAAGATTTAACCAAATAAAAGGTTTTGAGGGGGCTCTTCCTCCTGTCATTCTGTCTCCCATGGTTGCTGAATTCTTCCAACTGCTGATTGCACTAAAAGCAGCCAGAATATAGTGTCATTTCCCTCTGTCTAGCCTTTGTCTGGGTCGCCACTCCTTCCGTGTCTGTCACTTTAGCAGATCTAAGGTCTCCTGTCCTTTCTGCCGGCTCACATCCATTAACGTAGGAACTGGATGTCTCATCCTTCTTTGATTCCCCTGGTTTTTTTTGTTTTGTTTTGTTTTTTGTTTTTAAAAAGGAAAAGGCTGAGGATGTGGCTCAGTTGGTAGAGCCCTTGCCTAGCATGCACGAGGACCTAGGTTCAGTCTCCAGAGCCCCATAAACCAAGCACGGCACATGTGTAACTCCGGAACTCAGGAAGTGGAAGCTGGAGGGTCAGAGAGTCCAAGGGGATCCATGGATACACATTGAGTTTGAGGCCAGCCTGGGCTACATAAGACCCCATCTCAAAGCAAAAAGCAAATACAAAGAAGATAAGCATTTGTACCTGTCTGTGTGTACACTGCCCCGATCTTTTGCTTTTCTCATTAATGGAAATTTGGGGAAAGTTCTTCCAGTGAGATCAGGTTTCCTACTGTCTAGTGTCCCACAGTTTAGATAGGAGTCATACTCTTCTTTTCTTTGCTAAAGGGCAGACACTTTGTTTATAGTTTGTTTGAATAGTTGTGTTAATTTGGTCATTCTATTTTTAAGATCTACCTTTTTTATTTTTAAATTAATGTGTCTGTGTCTCTGTGTGTGCGCCTGTGTGCTCCTGTGTCTGAGGAGGCCAGAGATGCCGGGTCTCTTGGAACTGGGGTTCCAGACAGTTGCGCTAAGTGCTGGGAACGGGAGAAGAGCAGTCTGTGCACTTAGCCCTCACTGAGCCATTGCGCCACCCCAGTTACAGGCTTATATGTACCCTGGAATACTTAGACATTTTGTTTTGTTAAGACAGGGGTCTTATTCTACAGAATCAGCTACAGCTGAGCTATAGCTCAGGCTGCCCTGGAAATCAAAACAGGCAATCCTCCTATCTCAACTTCCTGGATGCTAGGATTACAGACATTTACAGACATGTTCCACACCTGGCTTGGGCCTTTTTTTTTTTTTTAATGTAGCTTTAGGACTGCTTGTTTGTTTGTTTTATGAGACAGAGTCTTTACATAGTTCTAGCTGTTCTGGAACTCACTATGTAGACCAGGAAACTCAAACTCAGAAAGATCCCCCTACCTCTGCCTCTCACGTGGTAGGATTAGAGACACGTGACACCACACCTGGCCACTTTAGTTTCATCACGTTGTCAGAACTTTGTCAAAACTGTTATCTTTGAAATACTACACACACACACACGCACACATACACACACACATACACACACACATACACACACACATACACACACATACTCACACACATACACACACATACACACACACATACATACACACACATACACACACACATACACACACACATACACACACGCACACATACACACACACATACACACACACATACACACACATACTCACACACACATACACACACATACACACACATACACACATATACACACACATACACACACATACACACATATACACACACATACACACACATACACACATACACACATACATACACACACATACACACACATACACACACACATACACACACATACACACATACACACATACATACACACACATACACACACATACACACACACATACACACACATACACACACATACATACACACACACATACACACACATACACACACACATACACACACACACACACACCATATGCTAAACAAGCACTTACCAACTGTCGAATGGATGCTTTGAGTCATAAATGAAACAGCGGTGAGGTTTAGGAAAGACTGTGTGCAGTGTAGGGATATTTTCCTTGCACACTTTTCTCTCAACCTCATGAGTAGAAAGCCAGGTGATTCTGGCAACACACAAAAGACCTTTACTAGATCCCATCACACTCAGTTGGCAAGGGTTTATAGAGACAACCTCTAGGGCCGAAACAAAAGCGTTCAAAGGCACATTTTGTTCCCAGAATCAGTCTGTCTTGTCTCCCCTCCCCTCTTCTCCTCTCCTCTGAGGCTGTAGCCCACACTGGCCTTCAGCTTGCAATCCTCCTGCCTCAGCTTCTGTGTACTGGTGTATATCACTGTTCCGGGCTTAGGAACTCATCCATTAATTTGGCTAAGATTTCTATAAAATGACATTTAGAGTCTATGCAAAAAAGAAAAGAAAATGTCTTCCAACATTGGACTAGCGTAGACAGGGCTTGGCACGGTTCTTAAGTCCCCACAGCAAAACTGAGGCTGACTTAGGATTCTGCAGAACCTTGTGCTCTCTCTTAATTCTCAGTGACTGTACACAGCTGTGGGTACCTCAGGGCCTCTGTCTCTCTGAACCTCATTTTAGATTCGTGTAGTTGACCTGAGGCAGTCTGATCTCTGAGTTCGAGGCTAGCCTTATCTACAAAATGAGTAAAGGACAGCCAAGACTCCACAGAAAAGCCCTATCTTGTAAAATGTTGTGAGAGGAGCGGTGGGCTGCCTTTCCTGCTGCCCCAGCTCCTGGCCACCTGCATGGCTAGCTTTATACCCGAAATAATTACACGGAAACTGTATTCTTTTAAACACTGCTTGGCCCATTAGTTTTAACCTCTTATTGGCTAGCTCTTACATTTCTAATATTCTGTGTAACACCACGAGGTGTCTTTCCAGGGAAGATCTTAACCTGCGTCTGTGTCCGGTGGGAGAATCGTGGCGACTGCCTGACTCGGCTTCTTTCTCCCAGCATTCTGTTCTGTCTACTCCACCTACCTAATTTTCTGTCCTATCAGGCCAAGCAGTTTTCTTTATTAGTTAACCAATGAAAGCAACAGATAAGATACAAGACCCACCTCCATCAGTAAAACAAAAACAACAAAGCAAAAACAAAGAAAAAGGAAATTTAATGTTGAATGCATGTCCTCATTGAATATCCCAGCCCTGAGCCTGCAGCCTCATTCTTTTCTGTTCTGCCCCCCCAGCATTCCCATGGTTTGGTATGGATATTGGCGGAACCCTGGTTAAGCTGGTCTACTTTGAACCAAAGGATATCACGGCAGAAGAAGAACAAGAAGAAGTGGAGAACCTGAAGAGCATCCGGAAGTATCTGACTTCTAACACTGCCTATGGCAAAACTGGAATCCGAGACGTCCACCTGGAGCTGAAAAACCTGACCATGTGTGGGCGCAAAGGGAACCTGCACTTCATTCGCTTCCCCACCTGTGCCATGCACATGTTCATCCAGATGGGCAGCGAGAAGAACTTCTCCAGCCTCCACACCACCCTCTGTGCCACGGGAGGCGGGGCCTTCAAGTTTGAAGAGGACTTCAGAATGGTAGGTTGGGTTTGCAGTAGTGAGATCAGCCAAGCCTCTCACGTGACCACAGTCTGGGCTGCTGAGATCTAGACCATTAACCTTGGGACTTGGACTTGTCTGTGCCATGGTTTCCCCACCTATATGGTAACAAATATTTGACCTATTTCCTGTGGTTTCCTCACCCATATGATAAGAGATATTTGACCTGTTTCATAGTGTTGTTCCAAGAAAGGTTAAATGAGGAAATGTACCTGGTTCTTATTGAGTACTTAACGTCTGTTATCTTCACTTCCAGGGCACAGGCTGGTCTTGAACTCACTATGAGGCCAAAGATAACCCAAACTTCTGATTCTCTCACCGAGTCCTAGGGTTACATTTATTGCCAGGATGATTTGTATGATGCCGGGATTGAACAGCTGTATCATGTCACAATAAGATGATATCTATCACCTTCAGAGACAGTACGGGTTTTTCCACAGACTCTTACTACATAATCGTGAGGCCAGTTCTATGGATATATAGACTAAGACCCACAGGAAAACTTTCTACAGCTCTAACTAAAAATGATTTTCTTCTTTATACCCGTTTGCTCTCATGCATTTCTCAGTTTTGTGAGTGCCATTCAGAAGTTTCTCTTTTGGCTGGCCATCATGGTGCGTACCTGTGATTCTAGCACTTGGGATGTAGAGGCTGAAGGACCAAGGCTAGCCACTCTGCCACAAAAACATACAAAAAACCTATATCGAAAGCATCCTCACTATTATTTATTGGTAAATTTCTTCATTATTGAGCATCATCATTGAACAAGGTAGACACAGGTACACAGTGCTTAGTATTAGATGTGGAGAAGTAACATTTATCCCAGGTTCTTTCTCTATTTAGCAGTCCCTTGACATCTGCATTCTCATTTCTCCATCTCTTCAGTCAAGATACTAATCTTGCCACTGACTGGCTTCATCTCTTGGGGGTAAAGTGAGAATAAAATTAAGGGACAAATGTAGGTCTATCTTGGAAAGTACAGGCAGATATGTGCCTGAACATAGGTGAAGGGAAGGTTAGAAGAGAAAGTTGGCAAGCCGGTGAGACGTGTTGTGGAATGCGACTTTCAAAGCCTGCAGCGCAGACACCTGCGTTTTCTCACAGAACAAGTGTAATCCAGTCTTGGTAGAAAAACCTGTGATTATTGCATAGCGAACAATCATGTTGTTCATGGTGTTTAATAAAGCTGAAAGATGCAAAGTTTGCCCGTCAAAAGGTACACCGTTTCCTTCACTGATTTCAGCGAGTCATATTCTAGGGATGGCTGTAATGCCACTTATAAAATCCGGGACTTAGGCTTGAGTGCACGCTGTACAAACTGACCCTTCAGGGGGTACTTTCAGAGGAGCTGGCTGCAGACTTGCAGCAATAACCTGGCTAGGCTGAGTAGCTCTAGGTTTTAACCATTTTCTTCTGTGTCAGCCTTCCCTACACAGCTATAGACTTTGGTACAACCATTTACTCAAATGACTCATGGGTGGGGGCTTCTTCCCTGCTACAGGGATCCCGTAACCAAACAGTTTTGAAATAAAATACAGTGAAGGAGCACGGATGGGAGAACTAAACTTAAGTCCGTAATGGAGTGGGAGCGGGTGGTTGAACCTGAATTCTAGTTCTGTTTCTGCATTTACCTGCTCGGTGACTTTTGCTGATGTGTGTTTCTGCTGTGGGCCTCAGTTTCGTCATCCGCAAAACAGTAGCAGCAATGTGGGGAGAGGGGGAGGGGCATCCAGGACAGAAGAACTAGAAGGGATAATCACATTCTTGCACTGTGTGAAGAAGCAAAGGCTTGCAGGCCTTGAAGAAGCTTTTGTATAGCAATGCCTTCTGGGTAAGATCTGGTCTTGGACTCCATTTTAATTCAGAAGGAGAGCTGACTTTGTGTGGGAATGAGATAAGTTTCTTAAGCGTTCCAGTACACGCTATCGTGTCTGTGCACTGGAGAGCCTGACGTGAACCAAGATGACCTGATAGATTTATGCAACCTCTGTCATATCTCCATCCCTCCTCAGGGTTTGCTCATGTCCTAGGAGAAAGACTTACTCAATCTGTGTTGGCCATGAGCAAGTGTGTTTCCTTAGGTTCTGAACTGAGAAAGGTCGTCTCATCCTTGAGGCAGTTGCTTGAAGCCTAATGACTAGACCAGGGGAGGGAGCATTTACTAAATGGAGTGTTTACTAAGCTCTTTGGTGTACTTCTTTATTTACTCTTCACTCTGTGGGGGGGGGGGGCACCCAGCTCCCAAATAAATACACGGAGGCTTATTATTTACTTATAAATGCCCGGCCTTATCTTGGCTTGTTTCTAGCCAGCTTTTCATATCTTAAATTATCCTGTCTGCCTTTTCCCTCCGGGCTTTTATCTTTCTTACTTCTGTAAGTCTTACTTTCCTCCTTACTCTGAGCCTGGCTGTGTGACTGGCCCCTGACGTCCTTCTCTTGCTCCTCCTCCTTTCTTTCTGAAATTCTCCTTCTATTTATTCTGTCTGCTTGCCGGCCCCACCTATCCTTTCTCCTGCCTTGCTATTGGCCATTTAGTTCTTTACTAGACCATCAGTGTTTTAGACAAAGAATCACAGCTTCACAGAGTTAAACAAAGGCAGCGTAAACAAAAGCAACACACCTTTACTTTACATCACTAAACAAGTGTTGCACAGCATAAAAAAACGTAGCACACCTTAAATAAAATAATATTGACCAAACTGTTTCCATCCGTATTGGACTAACAGCTGTCTTCTGTTTCCATGATAAGTCTTGGTCAACGTTAAGACAGAATTGAGAAAGATTTCTTCCCATGATTTAATAGATGATGTTCTTTTATCCAAAGCTTGTGAGGATGGATAGGCTTCTCCTGTCTTCTTTCTGGGTAGCCATTCATCTACTCAACACATGGTTTATCGTGCCCCTTCTGTGTGCTACACGTCTCCTGACTACCTTGTGGTCAGTGATCAGATAAGCAAGTGAATGTGCAATGTATTAAATATATAGATGTTTTGTATGCTTAATACACATTTTATATGTTTAATATACATTAAAATGTGTGTGTGTGTCATGAAGGAGAAATAGACGCAAAGGAAGGATAGAGAGTGTTGGGATGGGTCCAAGATGTGATGAGATAACATTGAAGCAAAAACCTTGAGAAGTAATAAATACCAGGCTGTATAGATATTTTAGGCAAATGGATTAGTAAGTGTTAATGCACATATGTGTCCAGAGTCCCAGCTCCTGGGTGTTGTACAATAGAAAGCTGAAGACTTAGGAACGAAGGGTCACTATATAAGCTAGGACAAGTGTTCTCAACCTAGTAGAGACCCCCACAGGGGTCACATGTCAGATATTCTGTATATCAGATATTTACATTATGATTCATAACAGTGGAAAAATTACAGTTATGAAGTAGCAACAAAATAATTTTATGGTTCGGGATCACCACAACATGAGGAACTGGACTAAACGGTCTCAGCATTAGGAAAGTTGAGAACCACTGTTTGAGGGGCTACATGGATGTCTTTATCAGTTAATCCTGTTAATCCTTGCTATTCATTCATGAGGACCGGAGTGTGGATCCAATCACGCACTCTAGGCAGCACACAACCAACTGTAACTCCAGATCCAGATCCAACATTCTTCTGTCCACATACACACACACACGCACGAACACACAGATACATACAGAAATAAACTAAGAAAAGAATATATGCTACTCTCTGCATTAGACAGTTTGTCCAAGAACAAATCACATGTGTGTAAAATGATGGTGTTGTGTAGAATCGCTGCTTTTGGAGTGTCAGAACTCTTGAGTTATCAGACCCAAGCAGACGGTCTTCAGCAAACTCTGAATAGTTTGCACTTGTTAGGTGTGAGGACTGCATCCCAGATGTATATAGCAAATGCACTTACATTTTTAGGAAGTGTTAGTTGTTCTTTCTTTCATTTAGAATAACCAGAAAAGGCTGTAACTGATGAGATAGTCTTTAAATTAGACTCTTCTCTAGGATATTTTTGATTGAACAAGGCTCTATTTCAATTTTATTCTGTTTCATAGAGTCTCTTCTTTTAATTTCAGTTTAAAAATTTTAATTTTTACCTCTGTTTTTATGTGTATGGGTGTTTTGCCTATACATATGTCTGTATATCAGTGTCTGTGGAGGCCAGAAGAAAGTCAGATCCTCTGGGACTTAAGTTATAGACAGTTGTGAGCCGCCGTGTGGGTGCTGGGCATCAAACTTAGGTCCTCCGCAGTAAGAGCCAGTGCTTTTAACCACTGAACCATTCCTCCAGCCCCTATTGATTTTTTTTTTTTATTTAACATTTAGGATCATGGTCCTAACAAAGCTTCTTACTTGAGACAGGATCTTATGGTGTAGCCCTAACTCCTAATCCTCCTGCCTCTGCCTCCCAGGTGCTGGGATTGCAGCACGCATCAATATTCCTGACTTCAAGTCAATTCATGATTGGTGTATAATTGTTTCCTAAATTAATGATGTAGCAAGCTGGAGTGCAAAGCCTAGCCTAATATTAAATGGGGACCAATGAGATAGCTCAGTGGTAAAGATGCTTGCCAGCAAGCCTGGTAGCCTGAGTTCAGTCTGCAGAACCCTGACGGTAGCAGAAGAGGACCAACTTTTGTAAGTTATCCTTTGATCTCCACACACACTGTGACACACCGCCCCATAAATAAATCAGCTTAATGTTACGTGGTATGTGTCACTGATAAGCCAATGAAGAATTCCACTGTGTAACCATGATCACGTGATAAATCCTGGCTATTCATAACAACACAAAACAATGTAGATTACAGATAGCTTTGTAATAGGATGCTTTATCTGCTAATTTTAATATTTCATGCTCTGCCATACTTCATACTTTACTTAACTTCAACAAGAGTATTAATAATGCAACATTCTCCTCCCCCTCTCCCCTCCCCCAGAGACAGGGTTTCTCTGTAAGTGCGAGGCCAGCCTGGTCTACCGAGCAAGTTCTAGGACAGCCAGACAAACCCTCTCCTGGAAAAACAGGCAAACAAACAAAAAACAAAAACATAACAAAACAATAACAACAAAAAGATATTCTTTTAATTTTTGTCTTAAAAAGAATCTGCAGATCTCTGCTTTGAATAGGCTGTGACGACAGTCTGGTTGAGTGAGGTCAGGGAAAGGATGCTTTCCTCATGCGGGTTTCAGTGTTAAGACCTCCAGGAGGTCTGCGGAGGTTCCTCAGCAGGGCAGAGTGCTTACTGTGCAAACACAAGGTACTGAATTCAGCTCCTCGGCACCTATATGAGAAAACCAGCTGTGGCTGCACATGCCTGTGACCCCAGACCTGGGTGGGAGGGAGTGTCAGAGGCAGGAGGATTGCTGAGGATGACTGGCTCTCTCTGCATTGAAGTTAGGTTGGGATTTTGCTCAGAATGAATTCTCCCATTAGAAGTGGTAAATCCTATAGACCAAGGCTTTTGTTCCCAGAGCTGATCATTGCACAACACCTTGCTTACTGTGCTATGTTCAAACTTCTGGAATCTTAATGGTGTGATTGCTGCCTCCAATAGTTCAAATTTGTCATCATTCAAGGCCCATTTAAGATCAGAATTAGAACAGAGACAGTTCTGTGCTGCATCCCAGTGTTTATTCAATAGCGTATGTGGCAGAGGTCCCAAAGATGAAATTGGTTAGGAATATTATGCTGGCTTAGTTTGTGTAAGTTCAGTCTATGCTGTTTGCACAGTGATGAAATTGCCAAGCAATATGTTTCTCAGAATATATCCTTGTAATTAAGCTGTAGGTGACTGATTAGTCAGCTTTTGGTTACTCTAATAAAATGTCTCAGGCAATCTAGTTTTATAAAGAAAGCTGTAGTTGGTTCACGTCTGTAAGTCCAGCACTTCTGAAGTGAGGCAGGAAGTTTAGGAATTCAAGATCATCTAGCCAAGACATCATCCCCCCCCCCCCCCCTCTCTCTCTTTCAAGACAGGGTTTTTCTGAAGCTCTGATTATTCTGGAACTCACGCTGGCCAGTAAATCAGGCTGGCCTTGAACTCAGAAATACACTTGCATCTGCCTCCCAAGTTCTGGGATTGAAGGTGTGTGCCACCACTACCTGACTAGATTCTCTCTTAAAGGAAGAAAAAAGGGGCTTATTAGTTTTGAACCTTGAACTTTTTTATAGATAGGATCTGCTTTTAGTAGTGGACTGGTGTCCTGTCTCAACCTTCCCAAGGCCACCATACCAGACTTTAAAAGTCCAACAGAATGGTGACAGGTGTAGAGTGGATGCTCTTGGCAAGAGAGACTCAGAAAACTCAGTCAGCTTCCAGTTTCCAGAGAAGACATACACTCTAGGGCAGGATGTACCATGGAGCGCCACTTGGGGTAAAGTTCATCAACCCATCACCCTCTGGGAACCATGTTCTGAATACATGGATTCTTGAGGAAAACAAACAAACAAACAAACAAAAAAACAGTATCTAAACCATATGTAAATGTGCTAATAAAGAATAAAACACACTTGTGTTTTCTTGGCTTACAATGTGCAAAATAAAAAATAGCTAGTTAGTTGCCAATGTATAGGCATCGAAAGATGCATGCTACAATTTCCCCTTGGCTGAAGGTGACTACAGAGTGAGCAGACTGTCTTGTTGACACAGCCCTCAGCAGTCTGTTGCCTTTAGCCAGTCCATGGCTTGTTTTGTTTTCTGACCCTCCCTTATGGTGTCTTTGTGTAAGAAAACTCTGGCCCGCGGAAAGCTTTTCTCCATAGCTGGAATCCGAAGGATAGGTTTTAAACTTTTCGCAAAGTAAATTCAGGTGTACAGACAAACTGAGTTTCAGATTTCCTGTTTGGAATTCTCTGTGTCAGTTTGACTCATTCGCTTCTGGGCTTCTGGGAACTTCTTCCTCTTTAGGGTCTACTTCCTAAGGGCTCAACAAAAGTGACCTTTTTGCTTCCCTTTGTTTGGGGGCTTTAATGAATGACCTTCGGCTCAAAGAACCTCTTTTTTTCTGAAAAGATGTATAGGAGAGATGTGTGCTTCCTTCTCGCGAGGTATTTGGGAAAACCATTTTAAAGGGAAAGGTGACATAACAGTGTTTCAGATCAAAGTTGTATGTATGTGTTTAGTTCACTTATCTTGGACACGGGGGTGGTAGTTTCAGGGTATCCAGATAGACAGATTGCCTGTGTCCATATTTATGATGTTGGCTCTGGGAGTGGCTGTCAATATTGTTGATGAACCTGTGACTGATATTTAAGCAGCTTAGCCTATGTTTTCAAGATCAGCTGATGAAATCGCCACTTTTCAACCTGGGGTGACCCAGGAAGTGACAGCTTTCCTTGTTCATTTACTGAGTGTTTATTAAACAGTGATTGAGGGTAGCTTTTTGCATGGTACCAAGGCACTTCTGAAGTACAAGACAGCCTATGGCCAGAGCTGCCGGTGTAAGTCTATGGAACCACGGTAGACAGAGGACATAACGTGTGCCCACTGTGCCCCACTATAGGACAGTTCTATACCCATAGCATTGCCCTCTTAGAATGTAAATCATGTACATCCCATTTAAAAGTTTCACTTGATAAGAACTATGTTTGGGGGAACATGTATGGGATGCATTTGCTGTGGGGCAGTTAGAATGCTTTTTCCCATGTGTCAAGGAGACTTTGATTACCGCGCTGGCGACCTAGTCTAATCCTGCAGTGCAGGCAGGCCTAGGATTCCATCCACGTGTTGAATAGCAAATTCAGGTGAGTGACAGGAAGTCAAGTTTCCTTGTAGCTGCTGCCTTATGTGTATGTATACATGTTCTTGTCTGTGTGTGAGATGTGTGGGTGGGATATTGCGCGTGCTATTGCTCTTCACCTTCTTTTCTGAGGCCAGGTCTCTTGCTGAACCTGGAGCTTACAGACTTAGCAAGGCTATCCAGCCAGCAAGCTCCAGGGATCCTCCTGTCTCTACCTCCCGAGAGCTAGGATTAGAGGTTTGAAGCCAGAATGCCTAGGTCTTTAACATGAGTTCTGGGGATCCCAAACTCTGGTCCTTTACTGCCCCAACCCTCTCCCTAGATCTAGCATTCCGTTACATTTAGCAGAATATCAAAGTCTATCTAGCACTTGTGTAGAATTTTTTCCACAGGCCCCATAAATAGTAGTGGCAAATATGATGAAAATAGAATCACTGTGAGATGTTTGCTTGGTGCTAGTGTGCCACCTGAGGAAATCTACCTAGCTTCTTATTGTAACCGCTGAATAAGGCTAATAGTCCCCGAGAAAATGATCACCAACTTGGACCTGAGACAGTGTTAATAGGAATTAAACTTTTGAGGACATAGAGCGGCCACTAGCTGCTCAGACCACCTACAGCCAGATCTATTCTTGCGTCTCCTCCATCCCTGAAAGAAGTGGAGGGGATTTGTCTCTTCTTATCCACCTCCCTCTCCGTAGTATCCCACATCTGACTTGCCTCTGGCTGGCCTGCTTCCTCTCCAAAATATCTTCCTTTCCGATTTCATACCACATATAATTCAGCACTTTTTTTTTTTTAATCCCCAACAAGGGGAGGTTTTACCTCATAGAATTCTGAAAGGACACTCCTGGGCCACCCTAGCTAGTGAGCCCTTTGTGTGTGAGGAGTGTCGTGCAGATAGCGGGTGACTGTCGTAATCTTCACAGCAACACTGAGAAGCTAGATAACTCACCCAGATCATCTCAGTTAAGCAAACTTTAGACCTGGAGTCCAAAGCCAGGGCCATCTGCTCCAGAGCCAAGTGTGGGAAGAGACTTCATGGGTTCCAGGGAGTTTTTCTCCATCCATAACCAGGCCTTTTGGACCCATGTTCTGTCAAGCATGTGTAGGATTCTTATTAGCTCGTCAATATTCTAATTCACTAACTTCTCTTGGCTGCCCTAACAATTTACCACAGATTTGGTGGTTTACAATGACAGACAGTTCTTCCATCAAAGTTCTTGAGATCAGTGGCTCTCAGTCAAAGCACTGGCAACAATACAGTTCTGTACAGGCCTTGGGAGATTACACAGCTTGCCTTTCCTGGTGCCTGTTTGCTGCCGGCATCCCATAGACCATGGTGCCCCTCTCAGATCTCTGCTTTCTTCTTCCAAAGGCTTAATCCTCTGGGCTCTTCACACCTTTCCTAGATGTGTCTCCTGTCGTTGGAATTAGGATCCATCTAGATGACCTACAGCAATTGTTCAAGTTCACATCTGCAAAGATCTGCTTTCCAAAATCAGACCACACTCACAGGTTCTGAGACCTAAGAAGAGCTCTCGTATTCAGGCCACCAATCACATAATCTAATGGGTGCTTTCCCAAGAACCAGGCAAGCTCTTGTTCTCGTAGCACAGCTGTCTTCCTGGCAGTGCGTGTTCGTCCACACAGTTTCCTAACTACGGGTCTGAGAGTATTTCTGTACATTGAACATGAATCTTCCCAACAGCACACACCTCCTACGCTCCTCCCAACACAGTCTGTGGCATCTAACAGGGTTCTTTCTGTTTTCTTGCAGATTGCGGACCTGCAGCTGCACAAACTGGACGAACTGGACTGTTTGATTCAGGGCCTGCTTTACGTTGACTCGGTCGGCTTCAATGGCAAGCCGGAATGTTACTATTTCGAGAACCCCACAAATCCCGAGTTGTGTCAAAAGAAGCCATACTGCCTTGATAACCCATACCCCATGTTGCTGGTTAACATGGGCTCAGGTGTCAGCATTTTAGCGGTGTACTCCAAGGACAACTACAAGAGAGTTACTGGGACCAGGTAAACCTGCTCTCGAGTAGGAGAGCCTCTCTCTGCTTAAACTATGCCTATTTCCTGATGAGTAGTATATCGTAAAAGATTTTTTTTTTACATCGAATATGTTTTTAAAAGAAATTTAGGCTCCTATACTAACAAAAAGGGAGTTTTATTGGGTATCTGTTTTAGTTTGGTTTAGGACACAGGATCTTAACTTGTAGTTAAGACTATCCTGGAGCTTCGTGTGTAAGCCCAGGCTAGTCTCAGACTCAAAATCCTGCCTCTGTCTCCTGAGTGCTGGGAATTTAGGCATGAGCCACCATGGCCAGTTTATTGGATGAGGCATTAGAGGAGTAGAAGATGATTCATGTAAAGGTTAATATCAAGGTCTTTGTCTACTGGAAGTCATGCTCCAGTTGTAGAAGGAGGGTGGCACACATTAGTTTGTACTAAGTGCCACCAATAGGACCTCCAGGACTGCAAGCCCAGTAAGACAGGAGTAGGAGCTGGGACGGTCTGAGATGCTTCAGAGAAACTTCCTTTGGGGACCTTCTTGGTGTCAAGCCAGGAAAGATAGCTTGACATAGTATATTATCGCAACCAGCAAAGAGATGTACAAGGAATGGTTTCTCCTTCTTTTGCGTAAGCGAGAAGTGACTAATCAGCGTAACTTATAGGAATTTTGGAATGTAGGGCCCAGGAACACAACCACATCCCAAGGTGACTGGAATCCTTGGAGGATTTTTTTCTTCTTTTATGTACCCTAAGACCCATGAAGGGCAAACGGGCTCAGTTTCCAGTTACTGGAGAAATCAACATGGCAAAAGGCCCCGTTGTTAAGAGTCATTAAGAAAGCCCACTAAACGCCGCTGGGCGATGGTGGAGCACGCCTTTAATCCCAGCACTCGGGAGGCAGAGGCAAGCGGTTCTCTGTGAGTTCGAGACCAGCCTGGTCTACAGAGCTAGTTCCAGGACAGGCTCCAAAGCCACAGAGAAACCCTGTCTCGAAAAAAACCAAAAAAAAAGAAAAGAAAGCAAGCAAGCCCACTAAGAGCAAAATTAAGCTGACTTGGAATGAATTGGAATGAAGCATTGCTTCAGCTTGTTAGACCGCAAACCCCATCTTCTAAAGGAACTAAAAAGGATGAGTACCACATGGAGTGTGCTTAGGATATGGTGTCGAAACCATTGTTCATGGCAGATGAACGTGGCACATTACTTGTCTGGGCCTCAGGGTCCTCATTTCTGCCATGAAGGGTGTTGTAATTGCTTTTTTGGGAAGGAGACATTTCCAGGACTAAAAACTCTGCAGCTCTCTCTCTCTCTCTCTCTCTCTCTCTCTCTCTCTCTCTCTCTCCCCTTCTCTCTCTCTCTCTCTCTCTCTCTCTCTCTCTCTCCCCTTCTCTCTCTCTCTCTCTCTCTCTCTCTCTCTCTCTCTCTCTCTCTCTGTGTGTGTGTGTGGTGGAGCTGTGTGAATCGGTGTTCCCAAGAGAAGGTGATACGACTCAATGTCTGAAGACATTTCTAGTTTTCCCAGTTGGAGGTGGGGCACTACACACATGTAGTGGGTTGAAGTCAGGGATGCTGATAAAATTCTATAATGCAGAGGGCAGCTCCTCCAACAGCAAAAGGTATGTGGAGTCCCAAATATCAATAGTGCTACAGTTGAGAAACCGTGGGGCACACCCACACTCTCACTGAAGTGGGCATGTGTTCAGAGTGTAGTATCTGTTATGTCTGTAAACTGCTACCAGGCACACACGGTTCCTATTTTCTAATTTTCATTTTATTTATTATTATTTATTATAAGTATGTAGCCCTGGCTGGCTTGGAATTCAGTGTGTAAACCAGGGTGACCTTAAACTCCCAGAGATCCACCTGTCTCTTCCTCCTCAGTGCTGGGATTAAGATGTGCACTATAATTCCTGGCTCTGCATACATCTTTTCATTGAGAATATAGTAGCTCTCTGGCTTGTCCAGGAATGAACACTGATCCCACGGTCCCCTTGGGACCATAGGAATATCAAGATACGAACACCCAGCTAAACAGGTCTTCCCTTAGAGAGTGCTTTCCTGGTGAAGGTATAAGTTTTGCGACAACAGACTTCTTTCATGAGTAGTTGACTTGGTAAAGCTGCTCTCAAGGTAACAACAGGCTATACATTCTCCACAGCAACAAAATCTTAGCACTTTTGTTGATGCATACACAATAGCTAGTGAATGACAGATGCACTCTCCAATGTACACACTTTAGGGATCCATATCATCTTGAGAAGCTGTGAAGGAGCTAATTGTGGGTGTGGCTTCTTCACAGATGGAGTAATGTCTGTCTATAAAGCTCAGGGATTAAGGAATGCCCTTCATGATCCCCCTGCCTCCATCTCCCAAGTGCTGGCATTACGGGTGTGTGCCACCACACCAGCTCAGAAGTCGCTCTTGTTGTATGTTAGAAAACGTCAGATGTAAACACTTAGGATCAGTGGTGAGAATTAGCATGTGGGACACACTTTGGGGACCATTGGTATTAAAGCAAGCTCTCTACCACTGAGCTACCTCATTGGGGACCATTGATGTAAGCAAATGGTGTAAACGTTAAGTTTTGTTGCTTCTCTTATAAACCGAGAGTTTAACTCCAGATTTTTGTTACTGTTTTGTTTTTTCTTATATAAGGCTTTCCCCTGTAAGCATTTTGTTGTTGTTGCTTTGGTGGATTTCATTTTGATTTTGTTTTTTTCTCTGAGACAGTGTCTCACTATGCAGCCAAAACGGGCCTTGAGTTTTCCACCAAGTACTGGGATCATAGGTGTCCATGCCTTTGTGTGGGTTTATGTGTTTGTATGTGTGTGTGTGTATGTGTGCATGCACACATGTGTGTGCTGGTACAAATACATGACAAGGTTCCTCAATGACCCTTGGAAGCTTACCAGTTCTAGATGGCCAGATGTGCTGGCCAGTGAGCATCTTAGATCCATCCTCCGTACTCACACCCCAGGCTTGGGGAGCCACCTCCCCAGCTCCAGCAATAAGTGTAAGAATCATGTCATTTTGTGATATCCATTTTCTTCTGCATGTTTTAGATGGATGGCTTTTGTATACTTTCACTACTTTCGAGATTGGGCACAATCATTTTTCCCCTTAGTGACACAAGTCCAATTCTCAGTATGAAAATTAGTACTTTACAGGCAATGTTGCAGTGTATGGTCTGTTGTAAGAAGAAAGTAACTGTGGAACTTAACGTGGAAGGAGCAGTGCATCTCCCTGATGCTTCAGGAATCTACACGTATGTCTATCCCCAGGCATTGCTCCCAGGCTTACCAATTCAATTACTAAATGAGGAACTGAAGATTTCTTCTCACTCTGATGAATAATAGTATCTAGTGCCTTTTTCTATCTAGATATTTTGTCTCTGATATACTGAGGATTTTTCTGCATGTCTGTCAAAGCAGACAGATGTATCTGCTCATGAGCAAGGAAATTTCTTGACCAAATAAGAAGGTTGAGGGAAATGACAAGGGCTGGAGACTCTCGGTTCTTCTGTGACCTTGTGTTCTTTTCTCACGCCAGCTGTACAGATGCATGCCTGCTTTCCCATCCAGCCTTCTATCTGGAATCACTACCATTTTCTGGCCATACCCCCTTTCCGGTTATACCAGCACATCCGTTGATGAGCTACCTTCTTTCTAAGTCAGCCAGTTTCTTGAGTTGCCTACACCCAGAGCTGGTGGTTGAATGCCTTGATCAAGGTGGATGCCTAATGTTCAAAGAAAGATTAGCAGGGACAAAACTGTCAAAGCTAAAAATGTGAGCAAACAAGAAAATGTAGACGGCCCAGAATCCCGCAAGGGTTCTCGTTAAACGCATCTGTGTAGGGTTTGCTGTACAGATGGAGGTAGACTTTCTTTTTGTGTGTGTGCTTGTTTGTTCCCTTGGGATGTCACACCCACGACTTGGGTAGTTTTGGTGGTGCACAGCGAGGCCTACATGACCCTTGAAAAAGAACTCTTGGGTTTCATTTTGTTTTTCTTAGAATCACAGTCTCAGACTATGACACATTTTTTTTTAATCAAGGCAACACTAAAACACATAGTTTTTTTTAGTCGGTCTATAATCTGGTGTCTTCTTGGTAGAAGTTATTGATGATCAGTTTAATTTTGCCATACATTTTCTTCTTTAATCTCAACTTAATTTTTCTCCCTTAGAATTAAAAACTTGCATCAAGTGCAAGTTGTTTCTTCCACAGTCAGTGGCTCTTGAAGCTTCAGAACCAATTAGGATGAGCAGCCAGCTCTTCTCTGTTTATCATCCGAGAGAGAAGCCTTTGCCAGCAGTTGAGAACTAAAGTTCCCTTTTCTTCCATGACTTCACTAATAGTAGTTATTTCCTTGAGTTGGGTGTCAAGACACCAGGAAGCTTTGATGTGATATATAATTAATTTATGCTCAGCTCCCATAGTGTGTTGCTAAGTTTGGCAACAGGGTCTATTTTGGAGCCATAACCTCTAAAACAATGGAAAACTTTTAAAACATACTGCAAGCGTTTTGTGACCTTTGTCACTCTTACTGGTGAGTGGTAGTTAGAAAATCAGCAATAGCCTTTTCCAAAGCCTAACAGTGTTAGATACATAGTAGTTTTACTCTCAAGATTTCTGAGGCAGGGTGAGATGATTACTGTAGAGAAGCAGGGTCAGGGAAGACAGCCCTCAGGGAGCATGTTGGGACAGCCATCCTGGAGACTGGCTCTATAGTTGTGAACTATGTACACACCATTTCTTTCCCTGTGTGTTTGCTTTTAGCTGCCTATGGTGCTCTAACACCAGCCATTTCTGGTTACATGCTGCTTTCAGACCACCCAAACTGGACACACCATGATGTGACCCCTCTCATAGGCTAGTAGCTAGCTGAAGGTCTCACAACAGAAATCAGTGAGAGTCTTTTTCAATTTTATTCTCAAATTTAGGGGCGAGTTTTCCTTGATGTTTGATCTTAGCCGCTGCCCGCTTTCCTTATCCAGTCTACCCTCAAGTTCTGTTCTAACTCTAGCACTTTAATTTAGAGGCCTCTCTGCTCTCCAACAAAGTGCTCCTTCGCTTGTCCGCATTTTCCTGAACCCGTATGAATAGTCTTGATGTAGCTGGGGACTTGGATGGGCATGTCACAAAGCAAACATTAAAAAATCCAACCTTATTGTCCTTCAGTCTTGGAGGCGGGACATTCCTAGGCCTGTGTTGCTTGCTGACTGGTTGTGAGACCTTTGAAGAAGCTCTGGAGATGGCAGCTAAAGGCGACAGCACCAATGTTGATAAGCTGGTGAAGGACATTTACGGAGGAGACTATGAACGATTTGGCCTTCAAGGATCTGCTGTAGCATCAAGGTAGAGACGAAGTGGCTAGGAGCCGTAGAGAATCTACCACACAAGGCAGCCTCTCCACCCTGGCCATTCATCTAGTTTTCTCTTTAAAAAAAAAAAAATAAATGCCGGTGTACCAGCCTGGCACAAATCTTGTCATGTCAGACTGCAGACCCGATCTCCTGTCCTTAACAAAGCACTGAGATAGTTACCACCTGTGCTTAAAATAAGACAACTTTGAAAGAAGGTTCTGGAAAACTGCCAGTTTCCCCTGTTCCATGCTTGTTCGGATATCTAGACACATTATGAGTTTCTTCCCCATTTATAGTCATACTACTTTGTCCCTCGGTAAGAAGGGGGCAGCCAGCCATTCATAGTGCAATACTGTCTGCTTATAAACCGTGATAGCAAAGTCAGGTCATGTGAGTTTGGGCAGGATTATTCGTACTGCTTCCCAGAGTGCCTTGGTGGAAGCCTGGGTCCTGCCTGGGGATGACTTTGAATACTCTCCCTGATATCTCCAACATAGCTTTGGCAACATGATGAGTAAGGAAAAGAGAGAGTCCATCAGCAAGGAGGACCTCGCGCGCGCCACGCTGGTCACCATCACCAACAACATCGGCTCCATTGCTCGGATGTGTGCACTGAACGAGGTAAGGCGTTAACCCCGAGGAAGCCGGGGACCATCTCACGCATCGTCTCTGGCAATGTGCTAACTGTTGTCATTCTTCGGAAACTCGCCCTAGAGAACAGGAGAGGGGTGTAGTGACGGGGGAGAAGATAATGGGATTTACTTTTAAATAGACACCCGGTGGAAGCGTATCAGAGTTCCAATCCACGGTTCGGTCGTTCTAACTATTGATTGCCACGTGCCACTGAAGCGCAGGGCACGCCCTGGGCATGTGTAGCTGATCCAACATAAAACACTCCCGCCTGCAGTCCTGGAGATTCTCTCTGCTTTCAGCTTCTTTACAGTGTTGCCTTGTGGCATGGAGTTCAAGCAGCATTGTACAGGGCTATCAAAGCAGAGAGAGCTTGCTGCAGTCGAGGGCCCCAGGCGCAAGAAGCAGGTAGAGCTGAGGACAGACAAAGCTTTATTAACAAGTTTTGAAAAATTAAATTCTACTGAGAAAAAAAAAAGAGCAGAACCCCTGTCTGAGAAAGAAGATTTGAACAGTAGAACAGCCCTCTCCTTGAAGTGTATTAGGAAGACAAGAAAAAGAAGTCGGGCATGAAACAGGTAATAGGAGAAATATATAAGAGCCACAGCAGGTATATAAAATAAATAAATAAATCTTTTCTTTAAAAAAAGAATGGAAGTGGGATAGGTCTGGAGAGGTGACTCAGCGGTTAAGAGCACTGGCTGTCCTTCCAGAGGTCCTGGCATAAAGTCGTACATGCAGATAGAGCACTTGTATATATAAAATAAATAGATTTTTAAAAAAGCAACACCAACAGCAGGTCAGTAGTGGGGTTTTGAAATATGGAAGTTTTAATAGAAATATGACATGCATGCAAAAGTCAGTTCAAAGTGCCTCATAACTATCACACTCATGCACACACAGACACACTACCAAGATCAATAAATGAAACTTCACAGATACTTCATAACCTTTTTTAGGGACTGGAGAGATGGCTCAGTGGCAAACAGCACATGCTGCTATTGCAGAGGACTCGAATTTAGGTTCCAGCACTCACCACTGCCCGTAACTGCAACTCTAGGGCATCTGGAGAGACCCCGCCATGATGAGCTACAGGAAGTGCTTGTTTGGTTGGTTGCTTGGTTGATTTTGTTTTCAATAATGCTGATCCCGGCTTTGAGACCCCTCCTTTCGCAACACTGAGTAGATTATATCGCTGTCCCCTGGAGAGCAGTCAGCCCTTGCTGGAGGTCCCTGGTCCACATGGGCTTAGATGGGAGGCTGGTGATCAGGTCCCAGAGACATGCCTTATCAAAGTCCACTGCAATGAAGAGATTCATTGGAAACAAGGGTTTCTCGAGCTTTAACCTTTCCAGCATGTTTTTCTAAGTAGCCAAACAAGCTGGAAGACTAATGTGTGGGTAGGCTGGCTCTGTTCACGGCTCTCAAAGGTCAGTTGCATAGTGTCCGCCTTTGCCCCACAGAGCAGCTGTGCCCTTTGCCCTGCTTTCCTGAGTTACCTTCTGCCCTGCAGTCTGCTGGAGTGAGCCAGGTTTTTTCACAGATATCACAATCCCTTTGGGAGAGGCCAGCCGCCTTTCTTTTCTCACATTAGAAAATGTGCACACATGTTATTTGCTGGCGTGAGCAGCTGCTTTGGATGTTTCCTCTGCAGTTCATCGGATGGAGTGACTGACTCACTGCCCCCTGACACCAAGAGGCTCTCTGGACAGCTCGGGGATTAGCAGTGTCAGATTTCCCTGGGAGAGCAGAAGCCAAGGTCTTCAGCCTTGCGTTGTTCTCTGCAGTTGTAGCTGTGTGCATCTTTGGTTGTAGCTCTTTCATATAGTGGGGCACCACATTTCCTGAATCTGAGCTGCTTTTCTCTTAGGGTAATGAAATGCTCTCCTTACAACTTCTTTTTTAAGTTTGAAAATTGATTTTATTGTTTTCAATGATGTGTATGTGTGCATGTCAGTGGTATACATGTGAGTCAGATGCCCCCATTGTTCAGAGGCCGTGGATCCCCTGGGGCCAGGGTTACAGGCTGTTGTGAGTTATCTGATGTGGGTTCTGGGGATCAAACTCAGGCGTTCTGGAAGTGTATCACTTGCTAACCCTTACCCACTGAGCCATCTCTCCAGCCCCCTCCCAACTTTAAGCTTTATTTACCTTTTCATTAGCATATATCCATTTGTAATGACATTTCATACATATGCACAGTATGTTCTGATTGTATTTACCTCTCTTCCTCTTTCTTGTCCCCTCTTCCACTGGCACTGATCCCCTTCCTCTTCCCAAGGGACCCCTAGTCTCCCTTTCTACTCCCCACTCCTCTCACCAGTGATTTCCATTAGGGTTTTTTGTTTTGTTTTGTTTTGTTTGTTTTTAACAGGAGCATTGGTGAAGGTGTGTTTATAAGAGCAATAAAGGCGATATTGGTCCATCCTCTGTATTGTTGGAGCCTTAGAGGGAGAATTATAGATGCCTCTCTTGTGGCTGCATACTCAGCAGTATTTATCCTCAGCACTCTGACCAGTTATGAGCGTATGCAAAAAAAGCTCCTCTGACTAAAGCTGATCTCAACACCGATCCATGGGTGCAGATAGCTCTTTAGGAGGTAATTTGATAGGCATGTCATGTCCTTTTAGCAAGAACAATAGCTTCCCAACTAGGGCCTGTTGACCTCCCAGGCGCAGGTTGTGATTGGGAGTGTGGTACCAGACGTGAACTTCCTCCTCTGTTCCACTCTGAAAGCAGTAGGTCGCCCCCATGATGGGCTCACGAGGTTGTACCTGTGGGCATATCTTGCTTGGACAGTCGGTATCATTACACACAAGGTCCACCTCTGCTAGCTAAGGCTGCTGATGTCATTCCTCTCCCGGCAGCCTGCGTTGCACCTTTTATTTAGTTTCCAACAGGTAATGCAGAGTCCCAAAGAAAGGCAGTCAGGGAAGTAAGTCCATTTCTACACTCACCTCCCCTTGAACCTCACTAGGGAGGTTTTCAGCTTTGGTTTGTCTTTCTATGTTTTATACGGTATGAGATAAATATGGCTTTCAAAGATATCAACCTCTAAAGAACATTCTCTCTTTTTAAAAATGTATTTGTATGTGTATGAGTGAGTGTCTTGCCTGCATTTGTTTCTGTGCTCTACTTGTTTGTAGTGTCCACTGAGGCTAGAAGTGGGCATTGGATACCCTAGGTCTGGAGTTACAGACAGCTGTGAACTGATGTGTGGGTCTTGGGAATTGAACCCAGATCTTCTGGAGAATCTGAGGAATCATCAGAAACTCTACAGTCCACCCTCGACATACTATTCTGCATCCTGCCTTGTTGGTTTAGGTTTTTACTGTGAAAGTTTCTAGGCATGTATGAAGGATCAAGGATAAAGGACTCCCGCATGTCCATCAGTTCATACTGAGCAGTTTCCAAGATTTTGCCACATATGCCTCATCTGTCTCTTTTCTTGCTTCTCCTTCTTTTTTCTATTTGTTTATTATGTATACAGTGCTCTGCCTGCATGTATCCCTGCAGGCCAGAAGAGGACACCAAATCTCATTACAGATGTTTGTGAGCCACCATGTGGTTACTGGGAATTGAACTCAGGACCTTTGGAAGAGCAGGTAGAGCTCGTAACCACTGAGCCATCTCTCTAGCCCCTTGTTTCTCCTTTTTCTACTACTCTTTTTAGCTTAAACATCAGAAATTTAATTCCGCCATTATCAGTCTACACAAATGCATCTCTGAAATATGCCTCTCACAGTTTTTTTTTACATAGAATGTCTTGAGATTGCTATATTCATATTTCATCACTTGTAATAGCTGTCTATTACTCTACATGCTATTAAAGATTTGATCACTATCCTAGAAATACTTAGGGTATTTTTTTAGCCTTTTGCTTTATCAAAAATCCTGCAGTATATACATATATATGTTTTATATATATATAGGTATTATTAACAAGCTTGCTTATACAACATAAAATTTTGTATAAATATCAGTATATCTGTAAGATAAATTTTTAGTTGGGCATGGGAGCCCACACCTTTAATACCAGAATTCAAGAGGCAGAAAGAAACGAGATCTTTGTGAGTTTGAGACCAGCCAGGTCTTCATAGTAAGACCTGTCTCAAACAAAGTAAATTAATTAAACAAAGTAACTTAATCAATTAAATTAAAAAGATAAATTTCTGGATCAATGGGTATGTTGATTATAATTTTGACAGACATTATAAAACTCCTTCCATAAGCATAGTTCTAATTTATATAAATTTCTAAGAGGACTGTTAACCTTTTAAAAAAAATTTTAATCTAATAGAAAAGAAATTGTACCTTAATGTAAGTGGTTATGTAATATATGAACATATGTAAATATTCGTTTATTTAATCATTATTGTGTTTTCCCCTTTTTAAAGTTTCATAAATTACATGTATGTGTGTGTGTTTCAGTGTGTGTCTATGTGTAGAGGTGCAAACATACTCTGGTCCATGTTAGGACAACTCATGGCATTAAATTCAGGTGATCAGGCTTTAACATCAAGCACCTTTACCCACTGAGCCATCTTGCTAGCCCAGTAATTCTTTTGTGCACATGTGAATAGTTTATGAATAGACTTTTCACCCATTGTGTATTGGATAGTTGGTCCTGCTTTCTTGTTGGTTTTCAGGAACTCTATTAATTAACAAATCATTTCATTTGATATGTACTGAAGATAACTTTTCAAGTAAACAAATCAATTTTACTGGACTCTGAGTCTTCTCAATTGTGTGTGTGTTCGTGGCTGGAGAGATGGCTTAGTGGTTAAGAGCAGTGTCTGCTCTTCCAGAGGCCCTGAGTTCAATTCCCGGCAACCACATGGTGGCTCACAACCATCTGTAATGAGGTCTGGTGCCCTCTTCTGGCCTGCAGACGTACACGCAGACAGAATATTGTATGCATAATAAATAAATAAATATTTTTTTTAAAAAATTATGTGTGTGTTTGCATCTGTCCGTGTAGATATGTGCGCATGAGTGCAGGTGGTTGCAGAAGTCAGAACCTTTGAATGCCCTGGAGCTGGAGTTATAGGCAGTTAGGGATTGCCTTGTGTATGTACTAGGAACCAAAATCCAGTCCTCTGCAAAAGCAGCATGCACCCTTACCTGCTGAGCTCTCTCTAACCTTACGTTGCTCTTAAGAAGAGCCTGCTTATATTTTCCTTAGTCACCTCTCATTTTCCTTCTTTGTCAAACAATTGTAATTTTGACCCACCTGGCCTTTATTTGAAATATGAAATACTTGTCAGAATTTAGTACTGACTTTACTCCATCTGTCTTCCGTAGGGTGATAAAAGAATTCTATTTGTGCCCCCTAAATTTAAATTCCTCTTTGATGTGTTCTTTCTTTATCTTGAGTGTTTGTAGTCTGGTTAGGCTTTGGCACCAGACTTCATTTCTAATGGAAAGATACTGAAAGTACCTCTGAGTCCTTTACCCATGGAATATTTCCAGTGACTAATGTCTTCATGAACATACACTGTTAAAACTTGAGACATTTCAAAGATGATGCTCCTGGACCTTAATCACTCCTGGTAGACAGAGCAGAAAATAACTGTCCAAGCCTTTCGTGCCTTTGATCAGAAATACCTCGGGGAAGACGGGAAGAGCTGCAGGCATGGGAGTCTTGGGAGATCTGAAGCCTGTCTGCATGCACAGAATGAGAGGAGTGTTTATCAAGAGTGGGTTCAGAATGAAAGCCTACATCCATGCTGGGTCTTTTTGTTACCGTATTTTAACCCTTCTGTTGCTCGACAAGATATTCTGCTCTTGAGGGCTGAGATGGATATAGTTTCTTTATAATATCCCAAACTTAGTAGATGAACAAATCGCACTGCAGCCGTTCTTTTCATTTGTAAGTTAACTGAATTAGTATTTTATACTTGGAATTTGGGGATGGGCTCACTGAGGGACAAATTTAACTTCAATGCCATGCTGTAAACTGAAGATGTATCCCACCTAATGCAGCCTAGCATAGTAACTATAAAACAATAACAAACTACATGTTCATTATCATCTCTGCTCTATGCCCATGCCCTAGTTTGCGCTCTGTTGCTATGATAAAGTTCATGCGGTGGCCATTTGGGGTGGGAAGGATTTTACTGGTCCTTCATTTCCTAATCAAACTCCATCATTGAGGGAAACCAAGTCAGGAACACAAGCAGAGCAAGAACCTGGAGATGAGGCCTGAAGCCGAGACCGAGGAAGAATACTGCTTACTGATGCTGACATGCTCAGCCTAATACAGGCCATATATGACACCACCCATCGTGAGCGGGACCATCAGTCATGAAAATGCCCCCCCACCCAGGCTTGCCTACAGGCCAGTCTGATGGAGGCATCTCGGTTGAGGTTCCTCTTCCCAGCTGATTCTAGTTTGTGTCACGTTAACCAAAAAGCCAGCATAGCCCAACCAGAATCTGACCCTTCTGTTCTGTGGGGTGCTCTGTTGGTTTAACTTTGACTTGGGAAATGCTGAAATAGTTCAAGCATTGACTGAGAGGGCTCATATACAGCCACGCACAGAACATTGAGTCCTTACTAAATGCTGTCTTAAGCCATGGTTTAATTGTTTTCGTGTGTGTGTGTGTTTTTTTTTTCTTCCAGAATATTGACAAAGTTGTATTTGTTGGGAACTTTCTCAGAATCAATATGGTCTCGATGAAGCTGCTAGCATATGCCATGGACTTTTGGTCTAAGGGACAACTGAAAGCACTGTTTTTGGAACATGAGGTAGGTCAGGCTCACGGGGACTTCATTGTCATACGTGTATTTTGAGTTGCCTAACAATATGAGTCAAATCTGTGTATTTCAAAATGGATCAAGTAGGAAATAGCCTTTTAAACTTTGTGTTTATTACTTTCCCCACCAAAAAAAAAAAAAAAAAGTCGTTTATACAGTGGAAGCTTTCTTAGCCAACAGTGGGGATTTGAAGACGGTTCCTGAAATGAAAACAAAATGTCATTTGGAAATGTGAATGATGGGTTATTTTAACTATCGTGGGAAACAGTGTGGACAATTCCTTAGAGAACTGAAAGTAGAGTTAATTGATCCAGCAGTCACACTGCAGTGTAGTATTCCAACACATGTGAAGTCAGTACATTGAAGAGACGGCCCCATGATTGGCGAAGAGATGATTTAACACGTGGAAAGTGCTCAGAATCATTTCTAGCTCGTGAGAAAGGCTCAGTGGCATATCCGTGCCATCTCTAAGGGAACTGCTGAGTCAGGCGAACGAGGAGCTGCGTCTCTAGCCCTCTGGAGACTAGGTAGCTAGTGGACTCAGTATTTGTAAGTCCTGGTTTCCACGCCACTCCTTCACACACTGAAATCCTAACCCCAAGATGGCGTTGTTGGAAGGTGAGGGCTTGGGGAAGTGTTCGGATCAGAGGGCTGAGCTCTTTGGAAAGGAATTAGCATCTTTATAAAAGAGGCCTCAGACTGCAAGGCCAGTTTGCAGTGACTCGGCAGTCTGCAAGGATCCTGGCTTTGACAAACACCTTGATTTTGGACTGCCCCGCCGCCAGAAAGCTAGGAAATGAAGTTATGTTGTTTATAAGCTGCCTAGTCTTTGGTATTTTGTTGCATTTAGTAGTTCAAATGACTAAAACACTGTTTCCTAAAACAGCTGAGTTTCAGAAACCTTCATTTTCATAGAAATATGAGCTTCTATTTTACGGGGAGGCATTAAAATCTTATGCTAGATATAGCCCTAAGCACTTTCCTATATTAATATAGATAAATATGCATTCAGATAAATTATAGTTATTTGATCACTCAATCCCTTTTGCAAAGAGATCAGCATTTGTTTTGTGTTGCAGGTCAACTGCATAGCCTCGATCATGCTAAACCCGGGTCCTGTTTCTAACCCATATCCCCAGCTATGAATTCTGCTTTTAATATGATGCACCTGTAAAGTTAACGGCAGCATTCTTAGAATGGTGACAGCAATAGCCCTTGACTAAAGCTCAGAAACAATCCTACAGAAGTTCTCCACTGTTTTCTAGGGTTATTTTGGAGCAGTTGGGGCCCTGTTGGAACTGTTCAAAATGACGGATGCGCAGTAGATGAAGCGGCCTCCGGTGAGGACAGAGGACTGACAGACACTGCCAGAGAAGGTGACATCTTCTTGGGACAGAAGCCAAGCCACTGTGGTGGATGAACCTGCTGTATTTGTAAATAACTGAAAATTTTTTGCTCTTAGGTTTCATGCTTATGATACAAAAATGGGTAATATAATAATTTTTTTCTGTATACTGTATTTTTTAAAAAAAAATTGTGCAATGTGGCCAAAGTTACCAATTTCATGCATTAACTTTGAAAAGTTGTGTGATGTTTAAGAGGGGCCTGAACTGAATGCGCTGTCCATTTTTCTTCTGGGGTTTACTGATCAGTGTGGTAATTTTAACTTCGTTTAGTAATTACTCTAGGAGATTCTACCTTTACTTATATTTTTTCATGACGTTTCATGATTTGCTCTTGGTTTCAAATGAAACTACGAATCTGGCATGTTGCACTGTGAACACTTTGTTTACTCTCTCGCTCTCTTTTTATTCTTTCTGTTTCAGTGTCTTAGGACAAAAAGAAGTCCTTCCGTTTTTTTGTCCCCTGTGATCTCCCTCTTATCTATACGCTTTCCTTGTTGTAATTGCTCGTGTCAATCAAGGTGCTGACCAACTCAACACAAAGTTAGACACATAATCTAAAGTTCTAAAACTGTGACCACAGTGAGACTTTCAAGGGAAGGGTTGATGAAAGTGGCAGACACTGAACATGATATGCAATTTCATCTTTGTCTCCTTACCCCTCATAACGATAACGTTTCGTTGGATTTACTCTACACTAAGTTGAAGTCGTCTGTCATCAGACATCCTCATTCACGGATGGCGTATGAATGGCACCAGTTTGGAGGGGCTCCCATAGCTCATCTGGTCACGCTAGATTTAGGGAGGTTGTGAGTTGGGGTGTCAGAAATGAGTGTTTTACCTAGGAGCCCTGTAACAAGAAGACAGCATGAGGAATAATGTTAAAGGTTGTTTTTTTTTTTAATTTTTGTTTTAGTATTTAAACCGAGATTTGTACTTTATTTCATTTCTAAAACTTAAATATAATTTATGATACTCACATATGCAGACATTTCCTTCTGAAAGATTTTCATTAAGATAGATGGTGGGTCACTTTCAAATGAGGGTGTTGTACACACAGTGTCACACAAGATCTGACCGTCTTCTGGATTGAGGGTACCCTTGCAAGGGCTTTTGAATGGCCTTGTTACTCCTTGGTCAGTCTTCACCTTTCTACCTTATGAAGCGCCACCTTTTATTTCCATATCCTCGAGTCTTGAAGAAGTTGATGCTAATGGAAGAATTCACTTGTCTGGTTTAAATAAAGCCCGTTTCTGTTGGGATGTTTTTAGTGTATATGTTATTTTCATTTCTTACACCTCGTCTTTATATTTATCTGCTGTATATGTAAAGTAACTGTATGTTGTTGTTGTTGTTGCTGTTGCTGCTGCTGCTGTTTTCTTTCTGCTGCATAGCTCATACCATGAGGCTTTCCCACAAGTGTGGTAAGGTCCAGACTGGGTCTTCAGCTGTAGCCCTAGACCTGTGTAGGGGTTGCTTAATAGTTAGCTTTATTGCTCTTAGATTATTGACTGCTGAATGCCAAAGTACCACTGTGATATTTGGTGATTCTGAACCACTTTCAGGTTTACCTCATTGCATTTACATTATGTCAGCTTCTACTCAGCTGTCAGTCAACTACAATGTTCTTGACAAAGACGCCGTCTCTGTATTATCTACCCTAGTGCCTTTTGATGGTCTCCCCTCCCTTCTTTAGTCTTTCAGGGGACAGCAGACCTGAGACCTGAAGGTCATGGTTCTGCCAAGGAAACCAGAGCAAGTAACTGTGCCTATATATTTTATTAATTCTCTGAAATCACTTGATCGCTTATTACAAACATCCAAAACTTAGGAGCTGGGCGTGGTTGTACACATTTGTAATCCCAGCTCACAGGAGGCTAAGGCGAGAGGATCAGTGTGAATTCAAGACCAGCCTGGGCTACATAGAGTTCCAGAATGCTCTGCATAACCCCACCACTACCATTGGTATAGATGAATAAGTAAATTTTCCATTAAATTACCAACTAAGTGTTGGCTACATAGAGCTAGCCTGTTTTTTACAAGGGAGGGACTTGTGTCCTCAGGATTTTTCACATTTTCTTGAATTGCAGAGCTCTCCTTAGATTCGCCATCACAAAGAAACCTGGTAAGAATTAAGGGGGAAAAAAAGCCTGTGTCATGTGACATGAGGATGGTGAGATCGGCCAGCACGTGGCTTGGCGTCTTGGCATAGTGAGATAGCTTTGGTTTGGATGCTGCTTAGCCTGTTACTAACTGTGAAAGCAAGTGGCTCAAATCCTCTCTAAGCCCAAGTTTGCTAATCTGTAAAATAAAGCAAATAGTTTTACATTCATATTTTAATGCATACATTAAAATGGCATCCATATTTTTAAAGATGTTTTAAATCAACACAATAAATAAGTCATCCCCAGCTTTCTCGGTTGTGATAAATGGGGCACTTAGCATGGAGACACTTCACAGGACTCCATGACAGAACATGACCACCATTCCAAATCCCCATGCTCTTAAAGTTTGCCATTGTGATCGACTTGGCAGCCTCAGCTGACTTGAGCATTGTTTATCATGATAATAGGACTTCTCAGATAACTCGATAGCAGAACTGTGAATATGTATGATTTCAAGGCACTTTTTAAGGGTGGTAAGTGAGAATGATGAATTTTAAAGTATGTACAGTCTTAAGAATTTTTGATAAGCATCAATGGAAATATAATTGTATTCCTGGGCTTTTGCAGTACATGGATTCAGAAACCCTCTCTTAGGAAGTGTAAGTGGGTAATTACAATTGATGTCACTCAGTCATATGAGGAGTATCATGGTATTTTAGCTTACTTTAAAGAACTAGGAAGGAGTTGGAAACGAAGACGAACAGTATACATCCCTGCTGTCCAGCAGTGAAAACAGAAAGTGCAAGGCAAAGTGTGTAACGAGACACAGAGACATTCACTCATCATTGTCCACAAAGATAGTAATAAGTAAAATGAAGTCCCATGCTCACAAACCTTATATTCTAGAAGGAAAAAAAATAGATACATTATATAATACATAAGAAATATATAGTATCATATCACATCACTACTAGAAGGATAAAGTAGGCTAAGGCTTATATTCCTTCTATTGAGCAGAGTAGTTCTTCTAGGGAAACAAGAAGGGGAGGAGTCGCTTCCATGGGGTGATCAAAGATAATCTCTCATTGGCGATGACCTCTGGACAGAGACGTGAGTGAAATCAGAAGCAGACTGAGTAGGTGGGGACATATTTTTTTTCTACTCATGGCAAATGGAGTGGAGTTCAGGGGCTCTGTAAAAGGCTTTATTATAAGGGATAAAACAACAAGAGGGGTGGGAAACGAAGCTTTAGGAGCAGTCCCAGGCCAAGTCCTACTGGGAGTCGGACTTGTGAGAGAGCAGAGAGCTGGAAGGGGAGATGGGGCGGGAGGTTTCTCCTTTGTAAGGATGCTTGGGAAAGTTTGTGGAATCTTAACCAAGTGTGGATCAGGAGAGGAGGGTTTCTAAGTTAAGCCATGAAGGAAGAAATAGCCTGCTTGCCTTCTTTGGGGTAGAACCTATTTGCTGGAACCTGGTTCACAAATGAGAAACTGGGTACTGGGAGAGAGGCAATCAGCTACATATGCTATGGGGGACAGGGGGGCTTTTAATCCCATGCTAAAAGTTTTAGATTTCTCCACAGTCAGCCTGGAGCCATTGAAGCATTCCAAATAAAGGGAAGCTATAAGTAACCTGACTCAAAGTAAGAGATCAAATTGTCCCCTGGAGGGAAATCTATTAAAACAGTTACCGCATAAGTACATCACACCATTCCATTTTCTGGCTCGTTGTTCCTAATGTGCCAGGCTCAAGCACTACCTGCGCAGCGGACCATGTATGCTCTGCAGCTACCGAGGGCTATGCTACCGTGACTCTAGTCAGTGAATAAGAATGTTCGGGCACCAAGGTTCACCCGAAGCTCTTATCACTTGCAAGAGTTGTTCTATGGAAATACATTTTTCTCCCAGTGATCAGAAGATGATCCTAAGTTTCTGAGGAAGACTTGTATAATGTACCTTGTTTACTGGCCCTGTTGGGTGCTCGTTCATTCACTCTCCATCATTTTAGTTTTGACTGAAAACTCACAACACAGGAGGCAATGAACAACATCCGAGATGCCCTCGGCTATGAATGAGACTACAGACCCTGGCTTCCTTGGGCTTGCGTTCTGGGTGGGGGATAGGCATTGTGTATGGAAGCCAGTACATAGGAAGCCTTCAGAGCCTTTAGTGCTCGGAAGAGAGGGAAAATGACGGGCAAGGGGAAGGACTTCCTTGGTCAGATGTTCTTGGTGTGCAGGTATAATTCAGTCATGGTGTCAGCCTTTGGGAATGGCATGCTCACCTTGCTTCCTGTTTTTAGACTGATCATTTCACGAGACAGATTGATTTGAATTGTTCACATGAATCATTATTGTCGACAACTTACCATCAGAATCGCTTCATCGTTTCCAGTGTATAGCTTTAGCCCTTTGTGAATTTATATATGATATATTGATCTTTTCTTCCTCAGCCAACCCACAATCACTGTCTCTCATAATGAACTCAGTGACTGCAGTTTCTGAAAGGTACCTACAAGGGCTACGGTGTGACCGTTTATATAGAACCCTTTCAAGTCAACCTTGGAAGGCTGCTTGTCAAGGATTCATCAGCTGCAATATATAAATAAACTTTGCGTTTTAAAAGTCTTTGACTCTTTCTTTATTCACTGTTCACAGATTAACACAGAATTAGCTGACACAGCTCAGTGTTTTTACCACGCTGTTTTCAGCCAGTTGCCAAGAAGTCATCTTCTTTTAAAGTATTTTCCAGGAAAAAAAAAATGTGTCATATGTACATGTGATTTCATGTCAAGATGTTTACCTCCACGGGAGTGAAGAATATACAAAGGGAAACCCTCAAAAAATCCATAGGTACAGACCCAGCAGCCACACTAGTAATGTCTCCCCTCTCTGCCAGGTGACTGACAACTACAGGCTGTAGTTGTGGTAGACAGTGATCCTGACCTGTCAAGTCAATCACCTGTTCTGAAACAGCTACTTTTCAGTTAGTTCAGGGCCATACACCATGGTAAAGTACCACCCACAGTTAAGAGGTAGATTGAAGAAGGACGCCTAAAAGAAATCCCACACTAGCTCAGAACTGAAAACAATAAATGGTTATTTATTTAGAGGTAGACTCATAAATCAATATTCTCTGCTGAAATGGAGAACAGCAGCTGAATCCCGCAGCTGGAAAAGATGCTGGACGCATGCTTTAGCTCGGCATAATAGGATAAGAGGCCACGACCCAGTGGGCGGGTAACTTAAAGGCTGTAGGATTTCCTACAGCTGTAGATTTCCCCTTTTGCTAAAATAATCCACAATTTCTCCCAGGAATGCCCCAAGGATGTCTTCTAGGTGATTTTGGATTTAGTCATGTTCACAGTATTAACCATTATAGCGTCAGGGTATTGTTGCTGACCTAGGTGACCAGAGACTGGTAACACAGCCACTCCTTAAAGCCAAAAAGAAAGGATTTCTGGCCAGTGGCACTTGCCCAATCATGCAGCCCCGAGCCTCACAGCCCTTTGTCCTTTATGCATAAAAACCACATCCTGGTTGTCACACTTCAGTTAGCAATAAGCCAGAACCACAGAAGCCAAAAAGCAAGGTCACTACATTTTCTGGAACTATGGACCAGGTCTTTTGATGGCTTAGGTCTTTGTTCCCATGTTGGCAGGTGTTGGAAACCATGTGCTGGGTTTTAAGGTCAGGACGGAGCCTCTAACATGGGCTCAGTTGTACTAAGGTCTGGGGCTTTATTACATAACCATACTTGGAGACTATATTGGTGTGGTGAGGTGGATTAAAAGGGGAGAACATTTCCCCTCTGACTCTCCATGGTCAGCTAGATTCCAGAATATTCAAAATGTTCTGTAACTGTAGGGAATTGGCCATGGAGATTCCATAGGGTGAAGAGAAACACAGCTCTAGTCCTAGTCAAGTTGACATAATCCTTCACCCTACAGGTCTTTGTCTCTATTTCTATTACTCAGTTCATCCTGTGTAACTTTTAAAAAAGATTACAAGACCTTCCCAGAAACAAGAAGAAAAATAGAAGTCTGATGATACAAATACTGCAACCAGATGCTGATGTAACCGAGTTTGGAATTACCAGCCAGTGATGCCTCACATACTATATATCCTGATTACAATTTCTCCTAGTTCCTCCCAGTTC